GTCCTCAGGCTACACTTTAAGAACCACTGCCTTACGGTAGACTGAAGTCACAGAAGCCTGAATATATAAACCTTCTCTATTAAAGGCTTGTGAGAACCCCTCCCCTTGACGCCACTATATTGTCACACAGGGAGTGCAATGTAAACCCTCCCAACTCTACCCTCAAAGAATACACTGTACCTGCTTCAGTAGTGTGAGCACAGGCAGCAGCACTCACACTGCAACTTCACACACGCAACTGCTATACGGCCATTTCAGGAGTCCAGGCTAGTTTTCAGACAAGTTGATCAAACTGTAAGGGAACAGCTGCCAACTAACCAATGTTCACAGAAACCACATCAGAACTTTTTCAGTAAGAGTTGTTGTACTTAAAATGCTAGTGCAGGGGCGGGGAATGAGGCCACGTAGGATCCTCAAGTGTGGCCCTTTGTCAGAATCCAAACTTCACAAAACAAACTTGCATGTATGCATATATGATGGCCCACTTTAACATATTTAGCAAAAAAGGGAAATAAGAACAAGGACCCTCACCTACAGACACCACCATCTTTTTACATGAGAAATGGTTAACACCAAGTTTCTTGAAGTTTATTGTAGAAACAGGAAAGCTATAATTACATCTACATATCAATAGTATACGCATATGCAAACTATCCCCACATAGAAGCATGAGAAATTACAATATTTAAATACCCAACTCAAAATAAGGCATGTTTTACTTTTTACCTAACATTTAAAATGTATAAAAATGTACATGAATATATTTCATTGTTCAGCCCTTAGGAAAGCCAATTTAACACGAAAGTTACATAATAAAAACACCTTATGAGCACACAATAGGGGTCCTCAAATATTTTAAAGGTTGTATGGAAAAAGATTAGCCTATTCTGTTTGTCCCAGGTGGGCAGACCTAAGATACAATAAGAAGTTAAGGTAGATAAATTGAATGAGTTCACTGACACAATGTCAGCAGGTTGAATCATCATGCAACAGAGCTACTATACAAGGTTGTCCCAGAAACCTTAGTGCTGTTTTAAGCTTTAATAGCTTCAGAAGTACACATGCCACACTTACAAAAAGAATTTGAAAAGTTAATTATTTACAATTTAAATATTGATGATTAAAATTCAATATAACCACCATCTTGTGCTATGCATTGCTCTAGTCGATTTTCAAACTTTGTGAAAACTTTCATCAGCTGCTGCTCAGTGACTGAGAGAATCGCATTTGTAATCCTTGCCTTAAGATCATCCAAAGAACAAGGTTTTGACGCATATGCAACAGTTTTGACATAACCCCACAAGAAAAAGTCTAATGGAGACAGATCCGGTGACTGAGGTGGCCAATCAAGAGGACCTCCTCTACCAATCCACTGATCTGAGAAAGTGTCATCCAGAAACTGCTGCACGGGCAACGCATGATAACAGGGTGGCCCATCATGTTGGAAGATGGTGCTATTTAACAGATGTAACCTCTGCAGCTCAGGAATGAAAAAATTCTGAAGCATTGCTAAGTAAGATTCACCACTGACTGTAGACTCTTCAAAAAAGAAAGGGCCGATAATGCATGCCTTCCTGATTGCACACCAAACATTTACTTTTGGGGAATCTGTCTCATGTTGCCAGACTTCCTGAGGCTTTTCTGTGCCCCAAATACGGCAATTATGACGGTTAACTATGCCACTTATGTGGAAAGTGGCCGCATCAGAAAAGATCAATTTGTCCAGAAAGTCACTGGAATTTTCAATTTTTGATTTCATCATTTGACAGAAGTCTAACCTTGCAAAGTAATCTTCTTCTTGCAGCATCTGAATAGTTGTAACTTTGTAAGCATACTTGTGTAGCTTCACGGTTAGTATTCTGTGCACAGTAGTCTTTGGAATGTTCAATTCGGCAGATACCCGACCCGGCGCACTGATTTTTGGGGATTCTGTTCAAATGCCCTCTCAATTTCAGCCACAGTCTCTTCACTTGCTCGGCGTCTCCCAGATCTAGGCTTGTCGAGAATTGATCCAGTTTCCTTGAATTTTTTCATCCAGTTGTTAATTAAATTTCTGTGGGGAGCTTCCCTCTTATAATGCGCAGCAAATTTTCTTCTTACTGCTGTTGTGGACTTGAGTTCAGCTAACCAGAGAACACAGTTGACTTTTTCTTCAATATATGCCATCTTCAATCAGATGGACTGGGGGGGGGAAATGTAATTAATTATAAGTTTTATAGCATTTGTAATTCTTTTTTAAAAATTAATTTTTAGTTTTCAACATTCACTTCCACAAGATTGAGTTCCAAATTTTCTCCCCATCTTGTCCCTCCCCCCCCATCCCAAGATGGCATGCATTCTGAGTACCCCTTCTCCCAGTCTGCCCTCCCTTCTATCTCTCCCCCTCTTCAATTTTCCTGTAGGGCAGGACAGATTTCTATACCCCATTTCCTGTGTATCTTATTTCCTAGTTGCATGTGAAAACAATTTTTTTTAAACTGTTTTTTAAAATTTTAGGTTCCAAATTTTCTCCCTTCCTCCCTGCCCACCCACCCTCATTGAGAAGAGAAGCAACTAGATACAGGTTATGCATATGAAGCATGTATAATTCCTAAGTTATTAAAACTACACTCAAGTTTTTTTGGGGACAACCCGTATAGAGCGATTAAAACTTCAGAGGGTTGGGCCAGGTGACCTATAACATCCTTTCCAACTTTAATTTTCCATGAGAAACATCAGTCTCAAAAGATAAACTCAGGGGGCAGCTAGGTGGCACAGTGGAGAGAATACTAGCCCTGGATTCAGGAGAACCTGAGTTCAAATCCAGCCTCAGACACATAATACTTAATAGCTGTGCAATCCTGGGTAAGTCACTTAACTCCACTGCCTAACCAAATAAAAAAACAATTAAAAAAACCCTCAAATTTGAAATATGTAAGACCATACAACCCACCAATATTTTTAAAGTTGGAAATGCTTAAGCAGATGAGAAATTAACCAAATATAACATTAACTGGCATATAAAGACTCTTTAAAAGATACAGAAAGGGACTAAAAAGTAGTAATCCTCCATTTAGCCTAGCCCAAAATAAAATATTCAAGAACATCAACTACACTTAAAAATTTGGGAAAAAAATAAAACACTGGAATGTAAGTTTAGATTCAGATTCTGATAACATAACACTAACAGCATTGTTAATTCAAGAAGGCTAGGCTAAGCACTGCCATAGTTCATATTTGGAAAAGCTCTGTCTCAAGAACTGAATGGGCCTGTGATTTCACCAATAGAAGCAATTCCCTGATGAGGAAACCTCCTCAACCAATTCAGGTGTGCACTTTCTCCTCTGATAATTGTCTAGAGTCCTGGGAAATAAAGTGACTTGCCTTGGGTTTTTAACTATACAGCATGTGCTGTAACCCTGCCATCCACGTCCAGCTACAAATGTTTCTTAACAGACGTGTGGCACTTAAGCCAAGCGGACAAGCACTTATTAAGCATCTACTGTGTGCCAGGAACTGTTTAAACTGCTGGGGACACACACACAAAAAGATAAAAACAGTCCCTGCCCTCAAGGAGCTCATAATTGAGCAGACAAACAACATGCAAACAACAATAACAATAATCACACCAGCATTTATATAACATTTCAAGTCTGCAAAGCCCTTTACAAATAATTCATTCTACCCTCACAACCCTGGGAGGTAGGTACTATTATTCTCCCCATTTCACAGATAATGAAATTGAGGCAAACAAAGCTGAAGTGACTTGCCCAAGGACACACAGCTAGGAAGTGTCTAAGGCCAATTTGAAATCAGGTCTTCTTGACTTCAGGCTCAGTGCTCTATCCACTCCGTCCCTCTGACCGTCCGCCCGCCCGCCCTCCCGTCCGTCCGTCCGTCCGTCCGTCCGTCCGTCCGTCCGTCCGTCCGTCCGTCCATCCATCCATCCATCCATCCATCCACCATCCACCCACCCACCCACCCAGGTAAATACAGCCTAAAACAGCACTAAGACCTTTGGAACATTCTGTATATATAACAAGTGTCTATGCATAGATAGATACATATACACGTATTTAACATGGGTGACACATACATAACACAATTAATGTTTCTATATGTATCCATATATATACATAAAAAATAGGTATGATGTGCCTAGGTGTATATAAACATGTGCACTCGTGAATATATCTCCGTGTGTGTGTGTGTGTGTGTGTGTGTGTGTATATATCTCAACGTATTTGTGCATCTATGTGTCTACTGATGTATGTCTATAACACATATCTAAGTATACACACATCTATACATACACACATTACGTATCTATATATGCTCCTGCCTGTACACACACAGAGATCCACCTGCGCACACACACATATATATGTGTATATATATATATACATATATATATATATATATATACGTACACACACACACTCTCACATGCACACACCCGCACCCCTGCTCCAAGATCAGACCGATTTCCACCCCATCCATTCTCCCGGGGATGAAGCCGGCCCGGGTGGCGTAGAAGGGCGAACTAAGTCCGGCCCAGGGCCACAGGCTGAAGAGGAGGGGGGAGGGGCGGGGCAGGGCAGGGGCCTACTCACCCGGCCCCGGAGCCCAGAGGTGCGTCGAGCAACCACCGCCGCCGCGGCCCGCCCGGGCCCATGCCCCCGCCCCCGCCCCGCCGCCCGGCGCCAGCAGGCCGGGCCCGGAGGCCGCCGCCGTCGGGAGGAGGGAGCGTCCACGCCCGAGCCGTCCGGCCGGATGGAACGCCAGCGCCGGAACGTTCCGGTGTGAGTGTGTGCGCGCCTCAGCCAATCGCGTGCTCGCCCGCCCCCCGCGGCCGGAGCGAGGCTGGCGGTGGGAAGAGGAAGAAGAACATTCACCCTCCTCCTCCCAGCGCGCGGGCGGGCGGCGGCGGCGGCACCGGGGTCACGAACTCTGACCTTTCACTGACAAAAACAATAACAAACCCCCCCCTCCCCAAACCTCGGCCAAGCCTCCGCCCCCCCCCAAGCCGGCACTCCCCCGCGGCGGCCCGCTCCCCGCGGCCAGGAGAAGCTGCTCCCCCCGGCGCCCCTCGTCTTGCCCGCCCGCCGCCCGCGGGAAGCGGCTTCCCCGGCCCTCCGTCCCGCCCGCCGCCCGCCCCCGCCGCAGACACGGGACCAGCTTCGGGGTCAGATTCGAAGCCGCTTTGGCGCCAAAACCTGAGGTAAACGGTCGGGGTCGGTGGCGCGGCTCGGCTCGGCTCGGCCGAGGCCGCTGGCGGCGGATCGGGGAGGGGAGGGCTCTCGGTCGGGGCCGCCCCGCGCTGGAAGATGGAGGCGGCGACGGCGGCGGTTGAACCCGACCCCTTTACCTTTGCCACGGGGCGGGCGGACGGACGGGCGGGCGGCGGCCGCCGCTTTGCATAGTGGGCTGGGCCGCGCCGAGAGCGCTGGGCTGAGCGGGCGCTACCCCCTTCCTCGGTGGCCTCGCCCGTCAGCCTCGGCCGAGCCGGGCCCAGGCCGAGCGGAGGCGCCGCTGCGGCCGGGCCGGGCCGGCACGGCGCGGGGGGTGGGCACTGCCGGGGGAATGGCCGCGGCTCCGCCTTACAGTTGGCCCTCCGCCAGCGCCGCCATCTTGTCCTCGGCGGAGATGGCTTCTGGGGTGTGTGGTTTCCCACCCCCGCCCCCCCTCGCGCCCGCCCCCCCCCCGCTCGTCCCCGCACTTTTCCCCCGCCTCGGACCGGCCTGGGGGGAGGCGGCCCTGCCGCGGATTTCTAAAGGGCGGGAGAGGCGGACGAGCTGGAGGGAGAAGCGGGAGGGAGGCGGGACGCTCGAGCGTGACCGGCAGCGTGGCGGGCCAATCGCGGCCCGCCGGGAGGCGGGGAGCGGCCGGTGGCCCTCTCTCCCCCGCCCTGGACGCAGCTGATTGGCCCCGGGCGGAGGGGGTGGGCGGGTCAAGCGGGCGCCTGGGAGCCCTGGGGTTTCTGGCTCCCCGCACCGCGTGGGATAGAACGTGCTGGTGGCAGCGCGGGGAGCGCGTGGGGGCGGGGAGCTTGCGATGTTCTGTGCGCGCGCGGCCGCCGCTCCCGGACAACTTTGGGGGGGCCTGAGGGAAGTGTCGGGATCCTGGGGGGCACCTGGCCTGGTCTGTATCCCGTCCTCGGGGTTCGCTCTCTCGGTCGTGCGGTGGAAAGCGCGTCGCGTGCTCTCCGTCGCTTGTTCCTGACAGTGTCGTGTCTGTTCTGAGCCTTCTCTCTGTTAATTATTTACTAATTTGTCCTACGGGTAGCTTTTTTCGTGTATTTTTGTTTGCATCTCTCCGAGGGTGGGAACCGTCTTTTTTTTTGCTTAGCGCTGTGCCTGGCCCATTATTACGAGCCTAATAAGTGTTTATTGAATGGAATCCCCATTTTACAGATGGGGAAAACCGAGACTCAGGTCTTCCTCATCCATCGTCACTTACCTGAGACAGGTTTCAAACCCTGCAGAGTAGCCCCCATTTAATAAATAACAAATACTCGTTGATTTGCCCATTTCTCTCCCAGGATTTTTTTCCCATGCTTTTTTATTAGCACTACTAGACTTTGGCAACCACAAGTCATCCAGGAAAGATGGAAGGACACGGATTTGGAGGGATTTTGTTCTAAATCCCAGCCCTGCTTCTTGACTTTTGTGATCCATTGGACAAGTCACTTCATATTTAAGTACTTCATTTCCCTCGTCTGGAAGATGATGGGGTTGGGCTAGATGGCCCATAAGGTCCTTTCCAGTGCGAATTCCGATGTTCCTATGGACATCTGTCTCCTATAAAGCATTCAAGTAGGGGCAATGCTGGATTTATTTTCTGACAACACTTTAGGTACCGTTGGCTAAGGAAGTAAGCATCTGAATCTGGTTTAAGGAACTCATAACAAAAGTTCATTTTTTGTCGAGGCAATAGCATGAAGTGACTTGCCCAGGGTCACACAGCTAGCGTCAAGTGTCTGAAACCGAATTTGAACTCAGGTCTTCCTGAATCCTGGGCCAGTGCTCTATCCCCTGCGCCATCTAGCTGCTGGGAAAAGTTTATTTTTAAAAAAATTATTGTGAAACCAATTAAAGTGTGCAAACATTTCATAAAATAGCCACCTATCTGTTAAGACAACAATTCAACTATTGGCCAGTTATGTTATTATATTTTCTTATGACAGAAACATTTTGTGGATTAGTGTTAGAGACCAAAATGTGATTTACCTAACCTTCCTTTGATTTTGATCATGTATTACAGGACCCTCCTCTCCTCCCAAAGAGCCTGTTCTCAGTATTTGAGTGGTTCTTGGTCACTCCAAAGACAGTGACATTAGAAGTGAGCTGTGATGCATCCAACCTTGGAGTCCCACGTTCTGGTGGTTCACTCTCTGAAGACCTGTCTTGTTCTGGTCTTTTTCCAGGAGTCAGCCTGGCTAATAGCATGGCACAGTGGAAAGAGTGCTAGATTTAGAGTCAGAGGAACTAATTTCAAGCCCCAGCTCTCTACCATCATACAACCTACCTATGTGACACTGGATGGGTCCCTTAACCTTTCTGGGCTTTGGTTTCCCCATCTCTAAAAGAAGGGGATTGTATAGATGACCTCTTCTTTGCTTCCTTCCAGCTTTAAATCTGTGATTGTGTAGTTCAAAATCCTAGAATGTTTGGACCAGCTATCCTCCGTTAGCAGCCAATAAAAGAGAAGAGTTGACTATCAGAAGTTTTATATAATATAAAGAGCATCTGATTTGGAGTTGGTATTCCTAAGTTTAAATCTGGCCTTCTAACACTTTGCTCGTCTATCCAGCAACTGGGGAACCCCTACCTCACAAGGTGGTGGTTGCTGTTTTTAGAGGTCATTCTTGTAGAAAAAAATATTTTGTAAACCTTAAAGTGATACAGAAATAAGAGCTAGTATTGCAAGAAGCATTGTTGATAATTCAGTACAGACCCAGTGACAGACTGTACATCAAACCAGGTCCAGCCTAGCTAAATTCAGAGGGTCTCTTTACCAGATTAGTCACATGATTTCTGTGACCACATCGCTGTCTAGGACATTCTGCTGAATCGTAAAGGGGGTTCAGAGAGTATCCACATGGATGTAATAAGAGTTTCTTTGATATAACTCTGACATCATAGGGAAGGGGCAGAGTAGGCTGAATGTCCAATTTTACTTGTACTTGATTTTTGATGATAATAACAATAGCTAACCTAGTGCTTTAAGCTTTGCAGAGCCCTTTACATATTGTATTCTCATTTGATCTTCACCATAAGATTGAGTATGGCATAGTAGATAAAAGTTGGCTGCCACAAGGAAGACCTGGGTTTAAGTTGCTTCTCTGAAACAGTGTTCTAAGTGTCCCTTCAGCAACTCTCTAAGACTCTCAAGTTATAGACTAGATACCCAACGGCATTGTAAAAGAGTTTCTTCACTTTTCTAGTGAAATTACAGGCCTAGTCTAAAAAGGAGACAAACCACTGAGCAATTTTTTTTATCTGCACTTTATTTCTTGCTATATAGAGAGCAGCTTTATGAGTATGATGGAAGTAATTCTGGGTGCTATACTATCCATTGGTGTCATAGCGTTAAAAAAAAAAAAGTTGGCTGGAGAGTGAACCAAATGGAGAATGAGGGCTTCTAGGCCTGGCTTTGCTACCAACTGTAGCAGAGCTTATTAAGCAAATTATTTAAATAATTACTATTAATTGTATCAATAATTATTATTAAATAAACAAATTGTTTCACCAGTTTGGACCCCAGATGCTTCATTTGTGTCTATGAATGTACTGAACTAGATGGCTTTTACCAGCTTTAATATTCTATAGTTCTATGGGGTAGGCAGTTATACTGAAGTATTTATATAACGTATATAAGTGTATTTATTGAAGTATTTCTGAAAGACATTAGGAATAAGTGGTTATAATAAATTAAGTCAATGTTAGATAAATAAAAAGGCAAATCTTTCCATTTTAGATTCAGTACAGAGATGTAATCTTAAGTAAGGAGACCTAGTTATAAATGTATATTGTTTTCACTATGAGAAAAAGAATAATAAAGAACTACATAAAAAGCTGACATTTATACATTAAAATGAATAAAATAAGTTAATTAAATGACAGTAAAATAGCTGACATTCAAAATTTGCAAAATACTATATGTATCCTCATATTTGAGACTATCAATATTGTGAGGTTGGATACTACAGGTATTATCTCCGTTTTACAGATGAAGAAGCTGAAGTTTCGTTCGGTCTAGTGCTCTATTCCATTACACGATGCTGTCTCCCTTAGAGATTAGAGTTTGAATCTCTGATCCTAGAATTCTGGCAAGCATGAAAATGATCACTGAAATTACCAAGCATAAAAGTGCTTCTAATGAAGGGAAAACACAGTCCCTTTGTTAGGCCCCTTATTCATCCATTCAAGTGATTTCATTAAATAATCAAGTATGGATATAAAGGATATAAATTATATAAGTATATGTGGCGATGGGCAGTAAGGCTGGAGATGTAGCCAAGGGGTTAGTCTTTCTATAGGTAGTGCTTGAGCTGAGTAAGAAAACAATTCTAAGAGAAGTGAGGAGTATGTTCCAAGTATAGAGACAGCCAGTACAAATAACGTGGAAATGGGAGATGGAGTGTTGCAGGTGAAGAATAGTGAGGACAGTTTAACTGGGAAGAGTAGACTGGGGCCAGATAGTGAAGAGCTGTTGGAGTTTGCACTTTAGGAAAATCACTTTATCTACCGTGGAAGATGGATTGGATTTGAGAGAGCCTCAAAGCAGGAAATGCAGTTAGAAGGCTATTAGAGTAGTCTAGGCAAGAGGTAATGGGAGGCTCAGTAGAGAGAAGGGGGTGATTGTAAAAGATGTGGAGGGAAGTAGATTTATCAGATTGACAAGTTGCATAGGAGAGATGAAGGAGAGTGAGAAATTGGGGTGATAGGTGGTTTGCAAGTGTGGACTGTGGTGTCCTAATCAGAAATAGGGAAATTTGAAGGGGGCAGGACTTAGGAAGTGAGATGTCTATGGGACACATCCTATTTGAAATATTCAGTAGGCAGTTAGATATGTATCAGTGGAGTCCAATAGAGAGAATGGAACCATGATAGTTAAACTCATAGAACTGATAAAATCATCAAGTGAGATAGTATAGAGAAAGAAGGGGTACTAAAGATACACATTGGGTATCCCACAATTAGGGGTCATGATACCCAT